CGCCTCGCAAGCCGATAGCAACCTCGCCGTCCTTTTTTTCCGCGAATTGGGAAAAGTGTAGCAATAATGAAACGGAACGAACATCGCTTGGGTAACCGGAAGCGGGTGGTCGCGTCCTACCCATCAAAAACAATACAACGTCAATATCTTTCTCGTCAACATGGACTTTCTTGTCGCCGCAACGAAAAGTGTAGGAGGAATGGGACGCGGCGCACATCGCGCGCCGACGCCTGGCCAACCATACGCGGGACCCCCCGTCCTACCTGTCAAAAAACACAGCAACGTCGACGTTTTTCTTGCCAACATGTATTTTCTCCTCGTCGGCGCTGCGAATCGCGCAGCGGGAACGGGACGCGGCGCACATCGCGCGGGGACGCCTGCTCGTCAACATGGACTTTCTTGTCGTCGACGCCGCGGCCCGTCGGGTTGAGGAGCTGGGCGGGCGGCAAATCATAACGCCTCAAACAAGTGCGGTTCGCCGCCGGCGCGCCCGTTGTCATGTCCACGTAAGAGGGACTTTGGCAACAATGACAACAATGACCCTTGGTGCGAACAAATCACCCTCCGGCCGTGGCAAAGAGGGCCCCCCCGAGGGTCAAAAAGGAACGCGCAAAAGGTCACCCCGGCGAAAAGTCACCCTTACGCGTCGGCGACGTTGTAGCGTCGCGGCCGTTGTCGGCTGCCGCGGCGCCGGCGGCGAATTGTCCGAGCGCCTCCATGGCGGGACTGCTGGGCAGCGGGGCCAGGTTTCTCGGGAGACGGGGTGCACTCGGATCTGAGCCGACCCGGCGATGACAGGACAAATGGCATTGCGAAAAGGACGTCGGCCTTCGTCGTGGACCACCTCAGGTGGACCACCTCAGGTGGAGTTATCTCTGCGACCAGAATTGAACATATGTCTCAGGTGACCCGAGCGCTGTGCGCGGCATCTGTGAGCCCAAACATGGGGGATGCATCAACCGAGAGTGGCAAGACTACCTGAGGTCGACGCATGTCTGAATCCAGGGTTGCGAGGATGGCTCAAGCGAAGCTGGCCGCACCACTGTGCGGGATGTCGTCGTCGCCGCCGTCGCCGTCGCCGTCGTACGTATCCCCCTGGTCCCCCTCCCCCTCCTCCTCCCCCCGCCCAGCATGCCCCTCCTCCGCCTCGCCCCCTCCTCCTCCGTCTCCCCCTGCCCATCCTCCTCATCCTCCTCCGCCGCATCCACCCCCACCCCATCGGCCGGCGGTGAAGTCATCTATGCGACCAGAATTGCATAGATGTCTCAGGTGAAACTGGCCCAAGCGCTTCGCGCGCGGCATCTGTGAGCCCAGAGATGGGGGATGCATCACCTACTTGTGTTGACAATGTTCCAACCCGGAAGAGATATCCAAGAGGCCCTCAAGCGTATACCAGAAAGCTCCCAGGACGCCCCGCGAATTCCCAAGAGGCATTTTCCTCTTCCTCCTCAGTTTCTCCCTCCCTCCCTCTCTCCCTCCCCCCCTCCTTTTTCCTCCTCCTCCTCCTCCTCCTCCTCCTCCTCCCCCTCCTCCATGCGCGGCAGGAGCGAAACGATTGGCGGTACAACACGCGTGGCTGGAATGAGACGCGGCGCACTTCGCGCGCTCGACATGTTGTCGCCGCATGAGAGGCCGGAGCGGGGCGCGGCGTACATCGCGCGCGGTCTTGTTTCTCGTCGACGTTGCTCAATACGCGGCAGGAATAGGACGCAGCTCATGCCGCGCGCTGAACGTCTAGCCAGCCACGATATAAGATGAGCGACAGGCGTCGGACGCGACGCACTTGCTTCTTATGTTGTGGGAGGGCGGGTGGGAATGGACGGAGCCCTCTGGCTCATTCGAGCTGGCAAACTTGACCCCCACCCCGACCCCCACCCGCACCCGCACCCGCAACCCGCAACCCCACCCCCACCCGCAACGCCCACGCCCACGCCCACGCACACATACGCACAGGCACAGGCAAAAACACACGCACACGCACGCGCACACGCACGCACACACCGCAAACGCAGACGCACAGGAACACGCACGCGCACACGCACATGCACACGCGCACGCATAAGACACGCACGCGCACACACAGGCACAGGCACAGGGAAAGGCTCAGGCACATGCGCAGGCACAGGAACACGCACAGGCACAGGCACAGGCACAGGAACATGAAGCGCAGGCACAGGCTCAGGCACAGGCGCAGGCACAGGTACAGACACACGCACATGCACAGGCACAGACACGGGCACACGCAGACGCACAGGCACAGGCACAGGAAAAGGCACAAGCACTCGCACACGCACAGGCACAGGCACACGGGCAGGCACAGGCAAAAGTACAGGCACACGCACAGGCGCAGGCGCGGGCACAGGCACAGGCACGCGCACAGACACAGGCACACGCACAGGAACAGGCACGCGCACACAGGCACAGGCACAGCCACACGCACAGGCACAGGCACAGGCACAGGCTCAGGCACAGGCACGCGCACACAGGCACAGGCACAGGCACAGGCGTAGCCACACGCATAGGCACAGGCACAGGCACAGGTAAAGGCACAGGCACAGGCACTCGCACACGCACAGGCACAGGCACACGCACAAACACAGGCACAGGCACAGGCACAGGCACAAGCACAGGCACGGGCACAGGCACATGCACGGGCACAGGCACACGAACAGGCACAGGCACAGGCACAGGCACATGCACGGGCACAGGTACACGTACAGGCTCATACACAGGCACAGGCACAGGCGCAGGCACAGGCGCAAGCACAGGCACAGCCACACGCGCACACGCACACGCACGCGCACGCGCAGACGCGCACGCGCACGCACACGCACACGCACCCGCACACGCACAAGCTCAGGCACACGCACACGCACACGGATAGGCACAGGCACAGGCACGCGCACAGGCACGCGCAGAGCACACGCACACAAGCTCAGGCACACGCACACGCACACGGATAGGCACAGGCACAGGCACAGGCACAGGCACAGGCACGCGCAGAGCACAGGCACAGGCACAGGCACAGGCGCAGGCACAGCAACAGCCGCACGCACAGGCACAGGCACAGGCACAGGCACAGGCGTAGCCACACGCACAGGCACAGGCACAGGCGCAGGCACAGGCACAGGCACAGGCATAGGCACAGGCAAAGCCGCACGCTTACGCACACGCACACGCACACCCACACGCACACCTACACGCACACCCACACTCTCTCACACGCACACACACACACACACACGCGCACACGCACACACACAAACACACACGCACATACACACACCTTTTGGCGTTGCGGCCACGGGCGCAGCGACGCGGCGAAGTCAGTCGAGCGAGAGGGCTGGCAGGGTGGTGCGGCGGCAGCGGCTGGGCGCTCAGACGGCCCAGATGGAAAGCGCAGGGCCCACCCATGGGGAACCTCTCTGCTCGAAGTCGCAAGGGTCGGGAGCGACCAAGAGGGGGGTGTCCAAGAGGGGGGGGTGCAAATCATGACCGGCGGCATGTGCGCGGCCCAGCGGGGGGGCCAGGGACGTAATGAAATAAGAAGAGGCGCCATGAAACCTGTGGAAGTATCATGCCCCCCGCCTTGATATCCACCCCCCCCTAGTCATCACCCCCCTCTTTTCCGCCCCCGAAAGGGGGAGGAGCCGAGAGAGAGAGAGAGGACGAAGGGGGGAGCGCACAGGGAAAACCCCGGGCACTGAGCCCGTCGCCCGTGGCGAGGCGCGCGACGGCGAGGCCTGCGGAGCGGCCCGCGGGTGCGTCCCGGCGACGAGCACGGAGGCACGCATACGCACAGGAACAGACACGAGCACAGGCACAGACGGAGACAACAAGCAACGATCGCGATCACAGCAGCAGCACGCATGCACAAACACACGCAACAAACGCACACGTCTTGGCCTCGCGGACACGCGCGCAGCGGCGCGGCGTTCAGCAGGTCGAGCGAGAGGCGTGCGCGGGCCGGCCCAGCTCACGGCAGCAAGCGCGCACACACAGACAGACACGCAGGCACACAGACGCACAGACACACAGACGCACAGACACACTGACGCACAGACACACTGCCACACGCACACACGTGCAAACACGCAAGCACGCACACACGCAGACACGCAGACACGCAGACACGCACACACGCACACACGCAGACACAAACACTAACGTTTTCCCTCGGCGAGCGCGCACTCGGCGCAGTGTCTGCCAAAGTAGTGGCAAGTGCTGCAAGGCCCGAGAAGGGAGGAGGGGAGAACAAGAGATCACAACACAACACCCACCCACAACAAACACCCCCCCCCCACACAGACACACACAGCTAGGGAGCCCACAAAGGACGTACGCGCCCAGCTATGTACATGAACACGGCCCCTCGATTCGCGAGACCGGCCGCGTTATACGAACATTTGTGCAATGCGTGCTCTCGAAACCAGCGTGGATTCATGTACCTGTACGTCCTTCTTTCGCTCCTGAACAGCTGTCCCCCTGCCAGCCAGGTGACGCCACCGTAGCGAATGCTAGGAGGAGTCGCAGACGAACGCCCACACTGCACCCGGCATCGTCGACGAAAGGCGAGCGGAGGGCCCCACACGCCAGCGTGCAGGACGACTCACACGCACAGCACAAGCACGCACACGCGCACACGGCACACAGCACCACAAAACACACACTCACACACACGCAGCCCTCGGGGATGGACAGAGCTCCCTTTAGTAAAACGTGGTTTAGTGAAAACGACTTCGGGCCCAAACCTGGCGGGCGCAAGCCTGGAAAATAACGGCCACGGCGCCCTCTCGAAAACCGAAAACGGACAATTCACTAATCGACGTGTCACTGTTGGGGGTTCTGTCCACCCCCGAAGCCCCCCCCCCCACCACGCACACGAGCACAAACACAAGCACACGCCGTCACACAGCTCAAGAGCGCACGCGAACAGACGCGCGCGCGCGCGGGCCAGCGCCGACAGGACGGGCGAGCCGGCGGGCGGCGCGCGGGCTCTCCATGTGCGGGCGTGCCGGCGTCGAGCGGCCCGACGTGCCCGGGGTCGCGCCCCCGAGGGACGCCATGCTCTCGGGCGACAGCTGCATGTCGAGCCTGCCGCTGTGCGACGAGGGCGAGCCTGACGGGCGGCCGCGGTCGGCCTCTCCACCCCCTCCGCCGCCTCGTCGTCGTCCCTCCGCGTCGTCGCCCTCGCCATCGCCGCCTCCTCGGCAGGCTCACCGACCTCCCCCGTCTTCCTCATTCTCGTTGTCCTCCTCCATCTCTCCCGCCTCCTCCGTCTGATCCCCCTCCCCCTCCTCCTCCTCCTCCTCCTCCATCTCCTTCTCCATACACACTGAACATTAGCAAACACTCGGCACAACGCCTGGGTCCCAAGGTTCCGAGGAGTGCTCGGGACGAGAAGAAGCATTAGATTAAGTAGGCGGCGCTCCGAATGAACTACGGGGCGATCACAGAACAACCGCAGCACAAGACGGGCCAACCACGAACCAACCGCGGGACAATCACAACACGTTCACACGACAATCACGGCACAACCGCAGGACAACCAAAACACAAACAACACCATACGTAACAGCTCACAAAGCAAGCGTGGGACAACCACTGGGACAACCTCAGGGGCCATCACCCGCCGGGGGAGGAACAATCTGGTGGCAACGTGCCCTAGCAAGGCCGAGATCTATTCCACCCTCGCGCAGCCTAGCCCGACCAGCACGTCACGCACGACTAGAACCAACACCGACACCAACATCCTGGTCAGGGGAGGCTGTTTCGCTCCAATCCCAGTCCCCGATCCTAAGGAGGAGGATGAGGAGGAGGATGAGGTGATGATGATGAAGAGGATGATTATGAGGATGAGGGTGATGATGATGATCATGATGATGGTGATGATGATGGTGATGATGATTCTGATCATGATGCTGATGCTGATGCTGCTGATGAGGATGATGCTTATGATGATGATGATGATGATGATGATGATGATGATGATGATGATGATGATGATGATGATGCTGATGATGATGATGATGAGGAGGAGGAGGAGGAGGAGGAGGAGGAGTCAGAGCACTGGGGGGCAATAGAAGGATGCAAGCTGCGGCATCGAGCGAGAAGGGAGGAGAGATCGAACATAATGGACGCTCGCTACAAAATGGAAGGACAGGAGGGGATAGGAAGAGGGCGTGTAGGGGGAAGGAATCAACGAGGAATGAGAAGGAGGAGGATGAGAAGGAGGAGGAGGGGGAGGAGGAGGGAGGGAGGAGGAGGAAGAGGAGGAGAGGAGGAGGAGGAAGGAGGAGGAGGAGGAGGAGGAGGAGGAGGAGGAGGGAGAGGAGGAGGAGAAGGAGGAGGGCATCGACCTCCTCTTGACCTCTCCCTGCCCTCATCCTCCACCCCTGCCCGATTCTCCTTTCCTGTCCCCCACCCGCCGTTCCCCTCCCCCCCCCACCTCCCTTACTCCGGTCCGCCGTCCCCGTCCCCCTCCTCCTCCTGCTCCTCCTCCTCCTCCTCGTCTTCCTCCCTTTCTTCCTCCTCCCCTCCTCCTCCTCCCTCCTCCTCCTCCTCCTCCTCCTCCTCCTCCTCCTCCTCCTCCTCCTCCTCCTCCTCCTCCTCCTCCTCCTCCTCCTCCTCCTCCTCCCCCTCCTCCTCCTGCTCCTCCTGCTCCTCCTCCTCCTCCTCCTTCTTCCTCCTTTTCCTCCTCCTCCTCCTCCTCCTCTTCCAGCCTATCCTCCAGCCCCTCCCTCCTTCGCAGTCGGACCCCTAGAGGGAAAGGGGACAGGGAGACACGGGGAAGGAGCACAGCCCTCCCGACGGCTCTACGTCGTTCGAGCCGCCGGCCCCTTGAGAGCTCCTGACCCCCTTGCCAGGGCCAACTTTTCAACGCGACCCGTATTCTGACGCTCCTGTGGCCCTGGAGCGGCCTCCGGGCACAGGAGAAGGAGAAGGAGGATGAGGATGAGGAGGAGGAGAAGGGAGGAAGGGGGAGGAGGAGGAGGAGGAGGAGGAGGAGGAGGAGGAGGAGGAGGAGGAGGAGGAGGAGGAAGAGGAGCAGGAGGAGGAGGAGGAGGAGCAGGATGAGGAGGAGGAGGCAACAAAGAGTACAGGCGTTCCAGGGACGTGTCAGCTGCAGCGACGGCGGAGGCCTGGACTGTGCAACATCCCTGCGGTCTAATATGGATGGGAAGCAGACTCGCTCGAAGAGGGAGGGACAGATGCGGGCCAGCAGGCACAAGCAGGGAGAGGGAATAGCGTCTCTACCGCCAGAACGTTATCTCTTGCAACACAATACAATATGATATCGACCACAAGAAACCCTGCGCAAGGAACCCAACCCTGAGACCCCAGGACGTCCATGGATTTTTAGTGTGGGAGCGTCTCGCTGTCCGTAGCCAAACCATCGAAACCCGAGAAACCTAGGGCACCACGGAGGCAAGCAGGCTGTTTCTTGGCATGGATGTTGCACAGGCCACCGCCGTCGCTGCAGCTGACACGTCCCTGGATCGTCTTTACTTTTTGTTACCTCCTCCTCCTCCTGCTTGCTCCTCATGCTCCTCCTCCTCTTCCTCCTCCTGCTGCCCCTCCTCCTCCTCCTCCTCCTCCTCCTCCTCCTCCTCCTCCTCCTCCTCCTCCTCCTCCTCCTCCTCCTCCTCCTCCTCCTCCTCCTCCTCCTCCCTCCTCCTCCTCCCCTCCTCCTCCTCCTCCCCCCTTCCTCCTCCTCCCCTCCGCCTCCTCCTCCTCCGCCTCCTCCTCCTCCACTCCTCCTCCCTCCCTCCTCCTCCTCCTCCTCCTCCTCCTCCTCCTCCTCCTCCTCCTCCTCCTCCTCCTCATCCTCCTCCTCCTCTTCTTGCAAAGCAATACAGCCCGTCTGGGCCTGCCAGCCCATGCCGGTTGGACTCCGGCAAGCCGCGCGTGCTGCCCTGCTTTTGGTTAGACAAGCCACGCTGCCTCGGCTGCGCTCTGGACTTCGCCGGCACGGGCGGAGGAGCTCGGCCAGGGTCCCAGACAGGATCGCATCGTGAAAAAAAATCAGGACGGCAAATTTTTAGCTATTTTCGGCCCCAGGGGGCCCTCGCCGGGCCTCGGGACCGTCCAAGAACGACTCGGGACGAAACACTGGTCCCGGGGAAGGGATCGGGACCTCCAGGGACGCCGTCCTGAAAAAATCAGGACGTCGCATGTCTGGGGTTATGTTGCTCCCATCGAAATTCAGGACCACATCCCAGACACAATTTCGAGCGCCCAGAAAAGTTTCGAAACGGTGTTGAACGAATATCGCCTCCAAGCGCCCGACACGTGAAAACCCTGAAGCTTCGGCACGTTCGTGGTGCTCGGAATTTTTCTGGTGGTCAAGGCCAAAGTAGGTTGGTACATCCTAAGGTTCGACTCGCCACGCTACATCGGATGCACTCTGGACTTCGCCGGCACGGGCCGGGGAGCTCGGCTATGGATGACACCACATTTGTGAGCGTTTTTTTATCGGCGTTTCGACATTGGGCGAAAATGGGGGAGAGGGGGGGGTCTGGCTCTGGACCTCTGTTTAGTAAACTATCTGCAGCAGTGCGGCCGATGGGGGAGGGACCCCACCTGCTCGAAACAGGCGCCCCAAACAGCCAAGATCTACTCCATGGGCCATGGGGGGGGGGAGGGGGGGGGTGCGAGGGCCGGCGCCGATCGGCAAAACAATGAATAAAACGACGCCCACATTGCCCGCATCTGTATGAGGGCCCGTGGCAAGTGCTGGCTCTGAGCCAGCCCTGTCGTCTAAGAAGCTGTTGACCCCTGGCGATGCCAGTGGCCAGGGTTCGGCAGCGATTGGGTTTTAGAGCGCAGAAACTGCAGCAACCGCCGGTGATGAGGCCAATGCCCAGGGCACTGGGAGTCAGGGCTTCGTTCGAGCCGGGGGGGGCGAGTTCCCCGAGGCAGAGACGAGAAAGCCAGAGCCGCGGAGGAGGAGGCAGGGAGCCGGGGAAGGGCAAGCCCAAGGCCATCGATCGAGCAGGAGGAGGAGGAGGAGGAGGAGGAGGAGGAGGAGGAGGAGGAGGGAGAGGAGGAGGAGGAGGAGGAGGAGGTGGTTCCTCCGCCGCGCCAGGGGAAGCCCGGCGCCGATCCAAGAAATCCGCGTTTTATGTGTGTGCCCTGATATTGCTCCTCTCGGAAGGCGGCCAAGGAGCAGAGGGGCGTTCTCCTCCTCCTGCTTCCTGATGGCCATATGGGATTCGTCGAACGCGGCCTCCCCTCCTCCGTCTCGTCCTCCTCCTCCGGCCCGGTTGCCATCTGTTTGGTGCCATTGGGCTTACCCTTCTCCTGCTCCCTTCAGGAGAAACAAATGGCACCGATACCGCTACTCCCTGGACATCTCCCGGGGTGCGTTCTGACCAGGATTTCGGAGCGAATCCAGCGGTGGCGACGAGGGCCCCCGAGGCGGCCCACAAGGAGAAAACGAGGGAGGGATCACCTGGGTAGCGGTATGGGTACCGTTTCGTCAACTGACCTTCATATTATTCTTCTTCGTCTTATGTGCTCTGGTTCTTTTTTTTTGTTTATTCTTCTCCTTTTTCGACTTCCCGAGGCCCCGAGGGCCGCTGGAACACGTCCCGAGGCTGGAACACGCCCCGAGGCTGGAAGACCGCCGAGAACGGACGAGAACGCTCGAACATCTCGAACCTCGAATCCCCCGAGGACGTCCCCCCGCCCCCCCCACCCCCCCGAGCCTCTCCCCCCCCCAAATCGCCGTTCGGGCGGGACGGGAGCGCTCTCCTCCTCCTGTTTCCCAGGCTGATTTGGCCTTGCGGGAAAGCCTGGTCGGTTCCTCCTATGCCAGCGACTCGGACGACGACGCTCCCGCTCGCGAAGCGAGGCTTGTGGGTCGAATCGCGTCTCCATCCTTGGCCTTGTGTTTTTTTTTCAAACCTCTGGCCAGTACGCGTGCAGCTGGTCCTTGTCAGGTCAGAACCGTCCCGGGAGCCCCCCGGGAGCGGCGCGCGGGGAGCCGCCCCGGGGGGGGGCCGGGCTGCGGCGGCGCAGGCTCGCGCGCACGGGTGCTGAGTGTTGGGTCGGCTGTTGGGAGAGGCTTAGGCTGGGCCCCCGAGAACCTCCCGAACCTCGAATCCCCCGAGGACGTCCCCCCCCCCCAACCCAACCCCCCGAGCCTCTCCCCCCCCCCCCACATCGCCGCTCGCCCCCGATCTCGTCTCCCTCGACGCCCCGAGCGCTCCGAGAGCACAGGGGGGCCCCCGCCAGAGGTCCACGAGGCCTCCCGCCGCCCTGCTCTGGGGAATGGGGCTGCGCGGGCCTGCTGGTCCGAAGGCAGAGAAGGGGCCCTGGTCAGAACGCCAAGAGCCTCGCCCTCGCTCGGGCGTCCATTCCCTGTGTTTTTTTGTCGGTGTCGTGCGTGGCTTTTCGACAAATGATCAAGGATGCTTCTCGATGGTCCTCGAAGGTCGAAGGTCGAAGGTCGAAGGCCGGCGTGCGCCGGAGCGCGCCCTGCTCGGGCAACCGGAACGCTGCTTCTCACACGTTCTCTCAATCCCAACTTCTTAACTGCTGATGACGTCGTCGGTCCAACGTCGTCGTCGTCGTCGTCGTCGTCGTCGTCGTCTCGATGGTCCTCGCCGAAGGAAAAATGCACACGTCCGATCGATGCCAAGAAGCGGGCCTTTCTCATGCGGCTGAGCGGGCCCGCCGTCCTCATCCCGGGGCTGAACCTCAGCGGTGTGCTTCGCTCTCGTTTTCGTTTTCCGTCGTGCTGTCTTCTCTCCGCCTTTACCGCAAGACGAGATCGAAACGAAAACGGCACACGAAATCGCGAGAACACCGTTTAGGTCCACCCCTTCCTCATTCCCCCCCATCCGAAGGCTAAGCTTAAGTCGGGCCAGTCCCTCTACAGGCGGAATATTCAAACATGGTCAAAAATCGCATGGGGATTATTTAAATTATCTTTTGATCATTTGGGAATATGGTTGGAGTATTTTGTATCGTTCGTCGAAAATCCCCCTGTGGGGGGGCACGCCCGACTGAAGGCTAAGCGGGCCTTGCTCAGAAGCCTAAGCGGGTCCTTCTCATAGGGCCAAGTGGGCCCGCCTTCCTCCCTGCCGCCTGGCTCGCTGCCGACCCCAGACCCCGACGTCAGGATTGGTTCCCCACATCCTGGGTAAGGTTCTTCTTTTCCAGTACCACCCTCTCCTCCTTCTCCTCTGCTCCTCCTTCTCCTTCTCCTCCTCCTCCTCCTCCTCCTCCTCCTCCTCCTCATCATCATCATCATCATCATCATCATCATCATCATCATCATCATCATCATCATCATCCTTCTCCTCGTCTTCCTCGTTCTCCTTTTGTTCCTCCTCCTCCTCCTCCTCCATCCTCCCGGCTCCGCTGCTGCTGCTGCTGCTGCTGCTGCTATACTACCATTACTACACTACCACACGACCATGACTACAACAACCACTGCTACAACCATCGCTACTACCACTACTACCACTACCAATGCGCCCTTCCCGCATGAGCGAGGAAGGTAGTGGAGAACCATACTATTTAGGAGGTGTTCGTGCCCCTCCTAGCCCTCCGTCTGAACGCGGAGGGTATCAGAGAATTCTACTATTTACATGGCTCTGTGCCCCTCCCACGCCTCCAGGGAAGCCCCGCCTGAGCGAGGAAGATATCGGATAATCATACAATTTGCACGGCTTCGTGCCCCTCCCACCCCCCTCCAGGAAGGTCCGCCTGAGCGAGGAGGGCATCGGAGAATCATATCATTTACCAGGTGTCGTGCCCTTCCCACACCTCCAGGGAGGCCCCGCCTCTGCAAGGAGGGCATCGGAGACCATTTTACAAAGTCCTGTGTCTCTCTAACCCATCCAAGGAGGCCCCGCATTAGCGAGGAGGGCATCGGAAAACTATAGCATTTACAAGGTACCGTGCCCTTCCCACTCCTTCAGGGAGGCCCCGCCCGAGCGAGGAGGGTACCGGAGAACCATACTAATTACAAGGTGTTGTGCCCCCCTCCAGGGGAGCCCCGCCCGAGCGAGGAGGGTACCGGAGAACCATACTACTTACAAGGCCCTTTGCCCCTCTGGCCCACCCAGGGAGGCCTCGCAAGAGCGAGGAGGGAATCGGATAACCAAAATTGATATCTACGAAGTATCGTGCCCCTCCACGGTATCGGGCCCCTCCCATCCCTCCAGGCAGGCCCACCAGAGGAGGACGAAACAACATCGGGCAAGAGGAGCAGGAAGGTAGTCGGGAAGACCTGTGTAGAGGCCTCCTAGATGGGGTCCGAGTAGGTGGGGTCGGAGGATCGCGCTGCATCGCAGGTACATCAGCAATGCATCGGTGATGCATCAGCGACGTCGGGGGTGCATCGGCGACACCAGCGCAGAGCCAATCAGGCTCCACATCGAGCCGCATCGGCGATGCATCGGCGATGGGGCGCCATCCTCCGACCCTATCTACTCGGAACCTTTTGGGAGGCCTGGACCAATAAGTACCGATACCGCTACTCCCTGGACCTCTCCCGGGGTGCGTTCTGACCAGGATTTCGAGGCGAATCCAGCGGTGGCGACGACGGCCTCCGAGGAGGCCCAAGAAGGCGATAATAAAGAAACGGTATCGGTATGGGTACCGTCTCCTTCTCCGGAGGAGGGGAGTCGGGAAGACCCGTACCAACGCAGCGTTTTGTTCGACCTCGACGGCCTCTAGAGCCAACAAGGGCGCCTTCTCACAGCACCAGTGGGACATGCTGAGGAGGGATGTGCGCCATGCAGCGGGCGCAAAGCTGGAGGCAGGACAATCACTGCCAAAAATACGGTGATGGCCTTGGATAAGGAAACTTTCGATAAGGAATCTAGAGTTTGGGAGCCAGTGGAAAGCCAATCGTGGATTGGCCATAGGTACCACCGCCGCCCTCATCAGACAAGGAACCTTCCAGGGTCTGAAGCCCCTGGACACATCCCTTAACAAAAAACCCCGCCGTACAGCGAGGCAAGCGTCAGCTGCACAAGACACAATCTCCACTGCAAGGGCTTCCCGAGGAGGAGGAGGAGGAGGAGGAGAGGGAGGAGGAGGAGGAGGAGGAGGAGGAGGAGGACGAAGGAGGAGAGAGGAGGAGGTAGAGGAGGTAGAGGAGTAGAGGAGTAGAGAGGAGGAGGATGAGGTAGAGGAGGGTAGAGAGGAGGAGAGGAGGAGGAGGAGGAGGAGGAGGAGAGGGAGGGAGAGGAGGAGGAGAAGGAGGAGGAGGAGGAGAGGAGGGGAGAGGAGGGAGGAGGAGAACGAGGAGGAGGAGCGAGGAGGAGGAGGAGGCGGAGGAGGAGGAGGGAGGAGGAAGAGGAGGAGGAGGAGGAGGGGCCTGGCGAGGGCCAGCGGCTCCCCCCTGGGGGAGGGGGCCCGCAGGGTCCGCGTGGCCTCCCGCCTCGGGTGCCAGCGCCAGCGCGGGTGGGCTGCCGGGAGCGCCCGCCTCCGCCCCCGGGCGGGCGCCCGGGGCCCGCTCGGCCGAGCCGAGGCCCCGGCGCTCGTCCTGGCGCCGCCGAAAGGGCGACCAGGGCTGCTGCCTGCCCGATCTCCGGCCCGGAGATCTCCAACGCATCGAAAACATCAAGACTGGAGGAGGAGGAGGAGGAGGAGGAGGAGGAGGAGGAGGAGGAGGAGGAGCGAGGAGCGAGGAGCGAGGAGCGAGGAGCGAGGAGCGAGAAGCGAGGAGGAGGAGGAGGAGGAGGAGGAGGAGGAGGATGAGGAGGAGGAGGGCGACCAGGGCTGCGGCCTGCCCGATCTCCGACCCGGAGATATCCAGCGCATCGAAAACGTCAAGACCGGATTAGTTTCTCCATCTTCGGCCTCTATAGAGGCCGGGCCCCGGGACCCTCAACAACACGGCTCAGGATGAAACGCCAGTCCTGGGGAATGGGTCAAGCCTTTTGGGGACCGCGTCTTGAAAAAGCACGGCGTCGGATCTCTGGGATCGACTCCCCGAGTTCCCTCGATCTCGGCCGCCTCGATCTTCGATCCGGGCGGACGTTTCCTCGATGTCGGCCTCCAGGGCCCCGCGATTGGGCCGCGGGGCCAGCGCACGTGGACCCGGGGCGCAGGGCTGCATCCCGGGAGCGGGGTCGGGGCCTCTGGGGCCGCGGACTGGAGACGAAGGCAATCATCCCGCACACTTGCAGTCGGGGCGTTGACCCAAGGAACCCTAAATAAGGAACGAGGCCCCTTTTTTCCATAAGTTAACCTTCGATTTCCTGTCGGAGACATAAGGGAAACCTGAGGCAAGCTGTGAAACACTTAAGGAACGCGGAGCCCCTCCCCAACCAAAAGGGTTCCTTCTTCAGGGCCCCGACTGTCGTTGCAATCTCATGCGTTCGCTGATCATGTTTTCGTGTATGCGCCATCCTGCGTTCTCTACCCTCGTCGCGAATGCTCCCCTGTGATATGTGACATCCAGCGCACCATTGCTTGAACCCCCTCCCTCCGCGCTGGGGGACCACCTGCGCGCCCCATCTCGTGTCGAGAAGGCGTCACGCCTTCCGGTCCCTGCGCCATGGCCCGCAGAGAGGCCCGCGCCCCACCTCTGGCGTGGAGAAGGTGCAACGCTTGCTGCGCCCTTCGCCATAGCCCGCAGAGAGGCCGCGCTTAGGAACCACCCCTGGCACACCCCCTCTGGTGTGGAGGAAGTGCGGCGCCTGCCATGCCCTGCGCCATGGCCCGCATCGAGGCCGCGTTCAGGAACCACCCCCCGCGCACCACCCCTGCTGTCGAGAAAATGCCATGCCCGCTGTGCCCCGCGACATGGCTCGCGTAGAGGCCGCGCTCAAGGACCCCCCCACCGCGCGCTCCCTGCTGTCAAGAGAATGAATGACACACGCCTGCCGTGCCCTGCGCTATGGCCCGCACAGAGGCCTCGCTCAAGGACCACTCCTGCGCGCCCCCGGTCGTGTCGAAAAGTGCCACGACTATGGCCCGCATGGAGGCCGCCCTCACAAACCACCCCTGGCATCCCCCCCAATGTGATCGAGTGTCGAGGAAGTGCCACGCCTGCCGTACCCTGCGCCATGGCCCGCACAGAGACCGTGCTCGGGAACAAACCCCCGCGCGCCCCCTTCTGGTATCGAGAAAGTGCCACGCCTGCCATACCATGCGCCATGGCCCGCATAGAGACCGCGCTCAGGGACCACTCCCCGCGAGCCCCCTCTGGTTTTCATAAAGTAACACCCTGCCACGCCCTGCGAATCTTGCGCGTATGTGCTGTGTGGTGTGCGTGTCATGAGAGTGAGTACTGTAGGTATGCGTCGTGTGTCACGTGTGTGTGTGTGTGTGTCGTGTGTCAGGCTGTATGTGGATGTGTCTCATGCGGGTGCCGAGTATGTGGTGCATACGTCTTGGGTGTATGGTGCAGTGAACACGCCAGCGCTGCACTATCATTGTATGGTGTGTGCGTGTGTGTGGTTGTATGTAGACGCGTGTCCCATGTAGGTGCCGTGAATGTGTTGCCTGTGAATGAGGCGGGGTAGGAAGAGAAGGAAGGGAAAAGGAAGGCGGGCGGATGGGTGAGTGAGACGCGGGTGCGACGCAGGTGAGAAGAAAACCCAAACCCCACGAAACATGTGGGGAACAATCACACCAGGGGGATGTCAAAGTTCCTCCATCGTGCTCAGACCCCCATCGTGAACTGGCAAGACCATGACGGGCGGTGTTTCACTATTTTCGGCCTCCAGAGCCCTGACTTGGCCTCGAGGCCATTAAACCACGACTCAGGATGAGGAGCCAGTCCCAGGAATTGCGTTGACACCTCCGGGAGTCGACGTCATGAAAAAATTATGACGTCGGGGGTCTGGGTGGCTGCTCATCCTCATCTCTCCTCCTCCTCCTCCCTCCTCCCTCCTCTCCCCTCCTCCCCCTCCTTCCCTCCTCCTCTTCCTCCCTCCTCCTCCTCCTCCTCCTCCTTGCTCCTCGCTCCTCGCTCCTCCTCCTCCTCCTCCTCCTCCTCCTCCTCCTCCTCCTCCTCCTCGGCCTCGCGCGGCCCCGGAGCTCTTTAAATGGGTGCCGGGGAAACCCTCCAGTGCCAGGCACCGGCCCCTCTGGAACAGCCGCTGCCTAGCGCCCGGCCGAGGCGCGGAGGAAGCAAACATGGCGCCCCCCTCAGAGGGGGAAGAGCAGCGCCTGCCGACCAGCAGGGCCCAATAGTTACGGCAGGTTCGCGTCGTGTCGACCCCGGCGTTGGTTCCTGACACTGCAGAGATCGTTCAAACTTGAACGATCGGCCGTTCCGTGCACGCTGGATCGTTCAACGACGGGCCGATTCTGGGCCACTGGCGGCGTTCAACCGTAAACGCACGCGCTAGGGTCGCCGCCAGTCGGCACGACGCGAGCCTGCCGTAGCCCAGCGACTGCAGAACCGGCGCGCGGCGGCGCGGCGCCCCCGATTGCCCGCTGCGCCCAGCGGGGGTGCGGAGATGAGCAGCGTCAGAGCCCGCAGCCTGGCCTCGCCGCCGCCCCCCTTCTCCCCCTCCTTCTCCTTCTGCTCCTCCTCCTCCCTCTCCTCCTCCTCCTGCTCCTCCTCCTCCTCCTGCTGCTCCTCCTCCTCTTCCTCCTCCTCCTGCTCCTCCTGCTCCTCCTGCTGCTCCTCCTCCTCCTCCTCCTGCTGCTCCTCCTCCTCCTCTTCCTCCTGCTCCTCCTCCTCTTCCTCCTGCTCCTCCTCCTCTTCCCCCTCCTCCGGGGGGGGCATCCTGGAGTAGCGGCCTCCTGGATGGGGTTGGAGTACATGGGGTTGGAGGATGCGTCATCGCATTATCCTCTGGCGGGGAGGGCATCCTCTAGTAGAGGCTTCCTCGATGGGGTAGGAGCAGGTGGGGTCGGAGGATCGCGCCGTATCGCCAATGCATCGGCGATGCTTCGGCGATGCATCGGCAGTGCATCGGCGACGTCGGCGATGCATCGGCGCCATCGGCCTGGAGGACATCGGGCCCCACATCGAGACGCATCGCCGATGCATCGGCGAAGCCAGGACTAAGATAAATTCGGGTGAGGATAAGCCGGGAATCTCTGAGAGACAGCGGTTCTGGAGGATGTCTCGGGCGCCGCGGCCTTTTCAGAGCGTTCCAAAACGGTTTTCTTCTCGTCCTGGCCCCGTCCTGCCATTGAGGAGAGCAACTATCCTGTTGGGTGGAAGGGAATTGGGAGGATGAAGGGTATGAGCAAAAACATTCGGACGCAGTGCACGACACCTTCGACCGCCTACGGGTAATGGTATCCCCACGTCTCCCAAACCCATCCTCCCAACTGTCTTAGAAGACGAAACAACGCCATAAACATAAACTGTTGGCGCTCCGCGCGGATTTCTTGGATCTGCGCTGGACCCCCCTTCCTGGCGCGCGGAGCGCGCCGTAGGCGCCGCCGGGGGGACCCAGCGCAGATCCAAGAACTCCGCGCGGAACGCCAAGGTTTTATGTTTATGGCGATGTTTCTTATTCGATGTCTTCCTGAATCATCTGCTCCGACCCACCTGGGAGGCTCGGGAGCGGCCAAGAGGGGGATGTCCCAGAGGCGGGGGTGCACATCATGACCGGCGGCATGTGCGCGGCTGGGGGGGGGCGGGGGACGTAATGAAATGAGAAGAGGCGCCATGAAATCTGGGGAAATATTATGGCCCACGCCATGAAATCCCCCCCCCTGGCCATCGCTCGGACGTCCATTCCCTGTGCCTTTTTCGGCTTCGTGCGTGGCTTTTTGGCCAGATGGTCCAGGATGCTCCTCGAGGATCCTTGCCGGGATAGAAATGCACACGTCCGAGCGATGCCAAGCCCCCCAGTCATCACCCCCCTCTTTAGGGAGCCCGCAAGGGACGTTCGCGCCCAGCTACGTACACGAACACGGTCCCTTGAAACGCGAGACCAGCCGCGTGACGCGAGCATCCGCGCAATGCGAACTCTCGAAATCAGCGTGGATTCATGTACGTGTACGTCCTTCTTTCGCTCCTGACGGAGGAGGAGGAGGAGGAGGAGGAGGAGGAGGAGGAGGGGAGGAGGAGGAGGAGGAGGAGGAGGAGGAGGAGGAGGAGGTCTTGGCCGCCCCCGGGAGGCCGAGCACTTTCATGCCGGCCGGCCGGTCCTCCCAGCGCGCGCGCTCGTCCTGCCCGGGCAGGGCCGACACAAGGGGGGCAGGGGCCGTCTGCCGTCGAGGGCGTCCAAGGGTTCGGTCGGGCACGTCCCCCTACAGGCAGGTTTTGGAGGAGAGAGCAAGAATAGTAAAGCATATCCCAGAGGGGTCAAACATTATCGGGAGATCATCTCCATATGATATTCTGACTGATTTTGCATCTTCCTCCTGACGAATGACATGCCCGGCTTAATCCAAGAGGGGGGGGCTCGTATCTCATGGCCTGATGTGGGTGGGTGGGCTCCTCCAGGGGCTGGCGGGGTACCCTGATGGAACTCATGCGTTTGTTTGGCAATGTTCAACCTCGAGGGGCCCTTGCCAGGCCAAGGGACAATCAAGAAGCCTGGGAGGGGGTCCCTGGGAGGGGGTCCAGACCTGGGGAGCCACCCTGTGAAACAGCAAACAAACACGACGTCGGATGACTGGAAGGTGGGGGGGAGGGGTACAATTACGGACGAGGGGCAACCCGAAATCCAGCTGATAGGCGCAGGCGCGTGAAGACATATAAGCTACTACCCCCATGTCGCGCTCATTACGCTGCCTCTGCCACTGGATGTTTGGGAGTGGTCATCGGGCCACCAGCCCTTCCCGATGGTGCCCAGCGCTGAATCTTGCCCAGGGCCTTCTCTCTCGGCTACGCGTACAAGTGCCCCTCGGCAACAGTAGCCTTTGGAGCGCGGTTCTAGGGGGCCGCCAGGGGTGCCAGAAACCCTCATGGGCCCCTGGGAGTCCACACCGTAGGTCGCTCCGAAGCGTGGGGTCCCCGCCCCTTTGCCGAAGGCCCGATGCTCCAGGGACGCACCCCGAACGCAAAGCATTCCCATGTGAAAGGCCGGGGGGGGGCCTCTCCAAGGCTGGAGTCTGGAGTTGTTCTTACGCCCGTGTCCCGCAGGCGAGTCCACTCGTCCGCCAGCGCCGCAGCCTCGCGCTGCAATCTCGCGCGCTCGTGCGCCACGGAGGCCGCGTCCGTCGACGCACGCGCTGCCGCGTCCTGCTGCTGCTGCTGATGCGGCTCCTGCTGCTGCTGAGGCTCCTCCTTCCCCTCCCTTCCTTCCCTATCCTGTTCAATTCGCCGGTCCAACGGGCCAGAGACCTGCTAAGATCTCCGGTAACTACTTAACAGTATTTCTAGTTCGCGCGCGCGGGGCGGCCCCTGGGGGGCCCCGGACGAAAAGTACCCCGGCTGACCCCCGGCCGGGTCCCGGGCGACCCCCAGGGGGGAGGCTATTTTTCGCCACCCCTCACGAGGATCGTGGCCTCCGAGGGGGGGGCTGCAATCGACTACCTCCTCCTGCCCCAAGGGGCCCCCAAGAGCCCCCCAAGAGGCCCCAGGGCAGCCCAATACGCCGCCAAGGAGCCCCAAGACGCTCCCAAGAAGCCCCCAAGAAGCCCTCAAGATGGCCCCAAATAGCGCTCCAGGGCCGGCGGAATGAGCGAAGCGATTAAATAACTTCTCCCCGTCGCCCCCCCGGGACGTGTCAGAGGGGCGGGCCGGGCGCTTCGCCTGAGACTACCTCACCACGCATGACCTGTAAGCTTGAAGCTTGTAGCAAGTTCACGGATGGAGGCTTTCAGCATGAGGCTCTCGCCACAGCGCAGCGCGTACTCGAATTAAACAGCTGCAAGGATTTCGCGGACCGAGGGCGGGTCGTTTCCAACATGTGGCTCTCGCCTTAGCGCCACGCACAGTCGTTAAGCAATGTGCAAGGCATTTCTTGGATGGTTTGCGATCCGCTTTCAAAGTGTGGCTATCGGCTTGGCGCCGAGCACATCCGTCATAACAAATGCAAGGGTCTCGCATATGGAGGGCGGTCCGCTTTCAACATGTGGCTCTCGCCTGAGCGCCGTGCACGTTCGCCTTAAGGGTTCATAGCAGTTTCACGGTTTCTCATCGTTAACGTATCAGAAACGGTGTTTTGGAGCGATGCAAACTGTCAGGGCACAACAGTTACGTTGACTCGCGGCGCTGAAGGCCCAAGAACGATGCTCGGGCACGATTCAGGATCCCTGCAACGCATCCGCAAGGTCGATTCGTGGAGCTGAAGTCCCAGAAGTGGTGCTCTGGCACGGGTCTGGATTTCAAACGAATGTCTTCAAAAGGAGCACGTCCCTCAATGCACATGTCTTCTCGTATGGGGCCTATGAAGAGGGAGCTTGGAGGGAGGGCTCGTTGCAACATCGTTGATGAGACTGGTTTGCACTTGTCCTCCTCTCCTCCTCCTCCTCCTCCAACTCCTCCTCATCCTATCCTCCCTGCTTCCTCTTGGTTCGGTCCTTCCGGATGGTGCTCCCACTCAAACACCCATGCTTATGCGATGCCATGTCTTGCCCTGCAATGCCGTGACGCGCAACCTTGAAATAGCAGGCCATGCCGTGCAACGCCATGCAATAACAGCATGCCGCTGCAATAGCACGCAACGCTGCAATAGCAACGCCTGCTATGCCCTGCAATGGCATACAATACCATGCCATGCGATGATAGGTTCTGTGCCACTGTGCGATGCCATCCGTGCCTATTGCGGCAATGCTACGATGTGCAATGCCTGCTTCTTCGAGACAACCGACTTTCTGCGAGTCGAGACGGGCTCGACAGCAGTGGTAAGGAATTGGAGGGATGGGTCGGACGTCAGAAATGACGCGAGGGCACCTCGTTTGTCCTCATCCCGCTCTCCTCCCCCTCTCCTCCCCCTCTCCCTCTCCTCCCCCTCTCCTCCTCCCCCTCTCCTCCCCCTCTCCTCCCCCTCTCCTCCCCCTCTCCTCCCCCTCTCCTCCCCCTCTCCTCCCCCTCTCCTCCCCCTTCCCTCCACCCCCTTCCCCCACCAGTTCGGTACCCCCCTCGGACAGGAACCCCAGGCACCTCGGCAGGAGGGGCGGGCGAGCCCCAAGCCCCCCCTGAATGCAGGGCCCACGCGCCCCTCAGGCTCTGCCAGCCGACGATGTCCTCCTCCTCCCATCAATTCTCCCTCCGCCTCCCTTCCTTCCCGCCCAATTGCTCCGTCTCCACGCGTCCCTTCTCCTTCCGGCTACCTCGTTCCACCCTCATCTCTCATTCCTCCTTTCTCCCTCACACCTCCCCCACTCCTCCTTCCCATTCCTGCTGCTGCTTCTGTTCCACCTCTTCCTCCTTCTCCTTCTCCTGTCCCTCCTCCGTTCTCATTATTCTTCATCCCTCTCCTGCCTGCTCTATCCTACCTCCCCCGTCCTCCCTCCTCCGTTCTCCCCTGCCCTCGCCCCTCCTCATCATGTGTCCTCTTGTTCCGCCATGCTCAGGCGGAGGAGGAGGAGGCGGACAACGACGACGACGGCAGCGACGACGGCAACCACGGCGATGGCGTCGACGACGAAAGCCGTCCGCAACCAGAGCTCCCAAGCCCTCGGAGAACACCCGCGCTGCCTCCGCGGCGACGCCTTCGGCGGCGGCCTTGTCGAAGCGTACTGGCGCCTTGTCACCGTCTCCGGCGGAAATGTCGAAGCACTCCTGCCGAGGGAGGATGAGGGACGAGGGAGGCGGATACGTTTTTCAGCGTGCTCGAGGGCTTCCCGCCCGCCTTCACAGGATGGACTAGGATGCAGGAAGGAGGAGGGCTGGAGGCGGGAGCAGACTGCAGCATGAGGGCGGGACTGCGCTGGAGTGCGGATTCCCTGGATCTGCGCCGCGGCCCCCCTGGCGGCACCTCCGGCGCCGCCCCCTGGTGCGCCGTTGAGGTGGGGCTCAAGCGCCGATACGAGAAATTCGCGCGGGGTTCCTCCCCCTCCTCCTCCTCCTCCTCCTCCTCACCTCCTCCTGCCTCCTCCTCCTCCCCCTCCTCCATCCCTCCTCCTCCTCCTTCCTCCTCCTCCTCCTCCTCCTCCTCCTCCCCCTCCTCCTTCTCCTCCTCCTCCTCCTCCTCCTCCGCCTACTCCTCCCTCCTCCTCCTCCTCCTCCTTAGATGCCTGCGCAGCTCTTTCTTCTTCGAGCTCCGCCCGAAGGCGGTGGAGACCGCCTGCGGCCAGCCCCCGGGGAGGGGTGCCCGCGGCGCACTCCCTGGCGCGAGGCCCCGCGCTGCGGCCCCATGCTGCGGAGGACCGATGCGCCTGCGGCGCGGAGACGCCGAAATTGGCGGCGAGCGAGGGGAGCGAGGAGGAGGAGGAGGAGGAGGAGGAGGAGGAGGAGGAGGATTAGGAGGGGGCGGAAATTAGAAGGGGCGGGCCTTCTCAGAATGCTTGGAAGTCCCGTGGTGCTCCAGGAAGTTGCCCGAGCCTCCGCGGGAGACACAGACAGGCCCCTCGCAGGGCGCGAGGGCTCCTGACCGCTCCGCCGCCTTCTGAGGAGGCCTTCGCCTTCTCCCTTCCCCCCTCGTTCGCCGTCGAAGTACGCCTTCGGCGCCGAGACGCCGGAGGAGGAGGAGGAGGAGGAGGAGGAGGGGGGCGATGAAGGAGGAAGAGGAGGAGGAGGAGGAGTAGAGGAGGAGGATGCGGAGGCGGAGGCGGAGAGGATGCGAGGCGGAGGGAGAGGAGGGGGAGAGGGGGTGGTTTCGGACGGGGTAGGTAATGAGTATTATTTTTATTGAGTTAATTTATTATGAGGGATTATTGATTAGTATTAGTTGATTATTGAGGATTATTATTAAGTGTTATGAGGAGGATGCTGCTCTCTCTTTCGATCACATGTCGCTGCTCCACGTCCCACTCTTCCCGATCTCTACACGGCTCTCCTCTTCGCCCCACGTCCTGCTTTCACCCCTTCCGTCTTTCTGTCCACCCTGTCTTTCTGCCCGCGTGTCCGCGGGTCGAGGGCGCCGCGGGCTGCCGATCAGCCCATACCCGAAGTGTCTGGTCGGGCGAAAGGGAGGGATAGCAAAGGGGGGGGTTGAGAATCAGCTCACGTAGCTGATTTTCCCGGCGCCTCCTGGCGCCGGAGGCGGCTATGTATCGAGGAATGGGCCCCTCGGTGAGGCCGAAACCAGCTGCATGCAGCAAATTTCGTACCCCCCCCCTTTCCCAATCCCCCCTTTCGTCCGGAAAACAACCCGAGAAGGAGCACCCGCCGCTGGCGGAGCACCCGCGGGCCGACAAAAACGCCCAGAGGGGGGTGGGGGAGGGGGAGGGCCTGCTTAGAGGAGGCTGCTTCACCAGAGGGACTCCCCGGCCCCCCCAACATCTATAGATGTAACTGGCCCGCGCCTTCTAGGAGAGGGTGCTTCGAAGAAGGGCCGGACGGAGCGCGTGCCACGCGCCTCCCCCCCTCCCCCCCACCCCCCTCTGCGCGTGGCTGCCTCTGCACCTCGGTGGCCAAAGCCCGGGAGGACCCCGGGCAGGACCTGCGACGCGCCCTGCCGTTTATTGCAGGCCCCCCCCGGACAGGGCTGCGTCGTGCTGCCCTCGGGACCGTGACCCATCGGTCGGCAGGAAGAGGTCGAAACATGAAGCAGGAGGGCGTTGAGGAAGAGATTGGGTTCCGACCGCCCCCTGGGGAGGACGGAAAAGGCGAAGCCCCTCGATCCTTGAATGAGGGAGGCGATGAAAGTAGAGTGAAAGATGGGAATCCAAACCAACATTGAAGGGTCCCCAGGACACACAAATAAATACACACAAATAAAAGTAGTCCCTATATTTTCGTATAGTTTCTGGGTTCCTGTCTTCCCCCCCACTTCCATAGTTTCCCATATTCTCTGGGGAATCGAAGGTTAATTGTGTCTGTGTGTTTCTTTTCCTCCTGAGAGTCTGCCTGCAACCACTGCGAGCTCTGCTTCTGCCGCCCGTCCTCAACAAATTGGGCATCTGCCGCACGGAGCTCTGCCGCGACTCCGTGCTATCCGGAGCTCCGCCACAGCTCGATCATGTCAAGGCTGAGACATCCCGATTAGAGCTGACCCTGACCTGACCTGGCTCGGGCGGGTGGCAATGGGGGGCGAAGAGAGGGGCCCTGGCGGGGCCTTCTTCTCCAACCCCCGTACAGGTCACCACTCGGACGTCCATTCCCCGTGCCCTCTTCGGTCTCGTGCGCTTGTTCTTCGCAAGATGATCCCAGGATTCTCCTCGATGGTCCTCGCCGAGTCGGTAGAGAGCAAGGCAGGGAAGTGAGAAGGGGCGGGCCATCTCAGGAGGCTCGGGTGTGACCCAGCCTTCTGGAAAGTTTTCTAAGCCTTCCCCGAAGACGCAGACAACCTCTCAGAAGGGCGGAGGGCTTCTGAGAAGTCTTGCCGCCCTCTGAGAGGGCCCCCTCCTTCTCGCTTCCACACCTCGCTCGCCGCCGAAACAGTGCACACGTCCGAGCGATGCCAAGGTACCACCCACCCGACTTGCGGGATCTGCGCTGAGCCCCACCCTCCCTGGCGCGCGAAACGCGCCAGGGGCGGCGCCAGAGGCGCCGCCGGGGGGGCCCAGCTCCGATCCAAGAAACCTGCGCGGAGCGCCAAAAGTTTCTCTGTCAATGATGCTCTTTTTCTCCGAAGATTACCTCGTCCGCCTCCTCGTCCTCCTCGTCCTCCTCCTCCTCCTCCTCCTCCTCCTCCTCCTCCTCCTCCTCCTCCTCCTCCGCTCTCCTCCTCCTCCTCCTCCTTCCTCCTTCTTCTCGTTACTCCCCCTCTTCCCTCCTCCTCCTCCTCCTCCTCCTCCTCCTCCTCCTCCTCTCCTCCCCCCCAGCGCCCGCTCAGGCTGTGGCCGACTTGCGCTAGCGAAGCTAGCGCCACCCGGCGGCCTCCCCCTGGCCTCTGCCGCTCTCTCTGCCGCCTTTCTCCTGGCGCGGGCTGCCTGGATCAGCCTTCCAGTCGGCTTCCTCTCTCCTTCTCCTCCTCTCCTCCTCCTCCCCTCTCCTTCCTCTGCTTCCTCCTCCTCCTCCTCCTCCTCCTCCTCCTCCTCCTCCTCCTCCTCCTCCTCCTCC